GTTGCTATTCATTGTTCCTGATTGCTGTGTATAATTTGTTTCCATATATATAACTTTTCCTTCACTATACATTAAATAATGTAAATCTGTTCTGGTGCCTTTTCATTTTCATGGAGAAAAACAGACCAAAATTTTTTTTTAAAGTTTGAAAATGCATTGGCCCTCTGCCTCCTTCCAAATTCCTGACTGCAGACATGAGCCCTCAATCCACGTGCAGTATCCTTGTCTGACATTCTTACCCCTCCTTCTCTGATGTCATGATATCTTTTTGGTACTCTGTACATGGAATTCGCTGAGTACACTTGTCCCATTTTCAGGAGGAATAAGCATGAAGGGCACAGACGTATAATATAAAGAAGGTGCCTATTCTGGAGGGCCATGACAACTTTCTAGAAATGAGGAAGCCTGAGCATTGGCTATTGAAGGGTATGCTCCTATAGATCAGCACAGCCAGGAGTAGCATAGTGATCCTGTCACTAGGTTCTTGCCCTAAATCATTAGCCAATCAGGGTACTATTGGTACCCTGTGTGTACCAATAGTGAGCGCCAATGTGAACGATCCTTGATGCACAATGGGGCATCAAGCTATGTGCCATGTGGCCCAGTGTCCACTGATGAGTGTCTTCTCAGACACATCAGTTTGGAAGCTGAATGATCTACAGTGAGTGCAGAACCTTAGAGGACACCTGACTGCTACAGCAGTGGTAAGTGGTGACAGTATGACCAGGCACTTCATTTGGGCACAGAGGGCCACAGTCATGTCCTCAATGTATGAACTCATCCCACTTTTGATGCCACTCACTCTTTGGTCACACAGTCTGCATGGTGGGGCCAGGTAGGGAGTCAGGAACTCTCTGAACTCTCTGGACTGTCCCTGTAAAGTGATTCATCCGAGTTCACAGTCCTTACTTGATACTTGCACTCCAAACATGAGGCTCCCAGTCTGTGTGGTGTTGGCAGGGTATTCTTTGGACACTGTGGGCTTGTTAATGAAGTTTATATGGGGAATGCGCATTGCAATGCAGTGTACACACTGCTTTTCTCCAAGGTGAGTTTCTGGGTTTCTCATGAGACTTCCAGTTTCAGGGAGTAAACAGGACTTAAATGCTGAAGCTGTCCTCAGAGGCCCAGTATTCTTAGTACTGCCACTAATCCCTGAATGTCTGTGTATCCCCTACATTGGCAGAAACCATTAGAAATGAGTAACCACATGTATACATGGTTTCCCTTACAGTGGAGGGGGGACTTGGTCCACTCTCTCACATATCTGACACTGTCCTCAGACTTTTTCTCATTTTATAATGACATTATGACTAATGCAGGACATGATTTTCATTTATATATTACACTAGCAGTTTTCCCCAAAAGTAATGTATGCAGGCACCCCAACTGTTACACAGAACAGCTTTGCTTTTAAAGGGAGGATAGAACAATAGTCCAAAGAGATTTGAGGGCTTGTGGAGTGGCTGAAGTGATAGACTTCAAGGGCCTATAACACCCCCTTCAAAACAATCTGCTTGCATTAGAGTTTTTGTTTACACTGATTAATTCAGGTAACCATTACAGAAGGAAAATCATGAGCCTTTGGGAAGATGTGGGAGTATGTCAGAACTTTTAAAGGATGGATGTATCATACAATTCTAATAGGAAACGTGTTTGATGGTATGTGAATTTATCACTTGCTCTTTCATGGCTTTGTGCTTATTTACTGTGTTGCTTGTCCAATGTTGGAGTGACAAAAATTTATTTTGTCTAGTATCAAACAGGATTTTCGTTTTGATTATATCTTGTTTTTGTTCATTAGTCCTGATGTTGAACATTTTAAGGTATGCTTTTTGTTGTTCTTTTTTTTTGTTGTTGTCTTTCCTATTTCCCAAAGCAAGTTGATCATTGTCGATGGCATAGAGGAGAATAGAATCCATGTTTATTTGTTTTTTCCTTAGTCAAGGTGGAGACTTTATTAACATACTGCTCAGAAACATAGCTGTATGCACCCCTTGTTCACTGACTACCCTGGAGGACTCTCAAGCAGGGAAAACCCTGAGGCTCTTCCAGACAAACCTCTACTCCTCATCACATGTCCACTCCACTGCACCAAATCAACTGTGCACCAGCAGCTGATTTCTGTGACACAATCCCAAGAACAACACCCTCCCTGTTTTTCTCTGTCTTGACAGGATGTGTCACACATTTTTGACCATGGACATAGGCATTTGGATATCAAGTCAAGTTCCCAAGTAATTTAGTGCTGTTTTAGTTATTTTTAATGTAGCATCTTGCATTTTCACCATTGCTGCCTCATACTATAATCCTTCTACAGATAATTCCCATGTTGGTAGAACTGTTCCCAGGTTGGTCCCAAACTGTGATCCTACCCATCTTTGTCTCCTGAGTAAATGAGTTGCCAGGCATTAGCTACCACATACCAGCACACACTATGATATTTCTGAAATACAATTTTTTCCTTGATGTCATGATCATCCAAGTTTACAAATATGAACTCCCTTCTTTTGCTTTGCATCTGGGACTGTGATTTAATTGATTCATTTTTGCTATCCATTCCATAATCATCTTATCATTGATAATTTCCATATCTTCTTTAATGCTACCAACAATGATGTATTTCACCTTTTTGGGGGAATTGGGTTTTGAACACAGGACTTTGCACTTGTAAAGCAGGTGCTTTAATTCTTAAGCCAAACCTCTTCCTCACATTTAAGAAATGACTAGGATTTTGAGAATCTTCTATTTAAAGCAGCTCTCTGTGGTTCCACACCTTTTCCTCAATCAATTGACATTATTCATTCTGAACAAGAGCATGAAAATTGAATAATAGTTACAGAATATATCACATGTACATAAGGATTGCAAAAATTGCAATGAATTTTTGGAGAGAAGGAAAATGTGGTTGGAAATAAAGATCTGACAAAGAAAGAGTGCTAAAAAGAGTGAAATGAAGATATAATAAATCCTTTCTCTCCCTTGGGCATACAGGTTTAAAGTTACAGATTCAAATTTGCTAGGCACATGATCTAACACTGGAGCCATGCCTCCTGTCTGCAAATCATATATTCACATTTGTTATCATCTATAAATGCAAGTACTGGGTACTTACAGTTTCTGAAAAGAAATGATAAATGAGAGCAACTGGATATTTTATGAAAGGGAAGACACTGGAGCATTGCATGATACCTGCATTGACCCTAAGCTGTGTAATGTTATTTGAAAGTATACTGCAGGCCTTTGATGTGTCTGTTGAGGAAGTGCTAGGCCTGAGTTCAAATGTCAGGATCACAAAAATGTGGATGAAAGACTCAGTTGTGTTACTGTACAATTAAAATCCCATCCAGTGGGGGGTGGTCACATGTTGCACAAAGATTATCAATTGGCTGCCGGTGAGGGTTATTTAGTGAGATTCTGTCTCAAAATGAAAAGATACAGGGATGAAGCTCATCATTAGACAGATTTGCTAACTATTACAAGGTCTTGGGCTAAACCCTGTAACACACACACACACACACAGGAAACAAAGGAACAAACTGCATTAACATAAACTGCAAGTACGCATTGCAAAATGAATTAATGTAACAAATAAAATAATAATAAAAGAAAGATATCCTAATAGTGAAAACAAAATGGAATACAGGAATACACAAATACATGGGAACTTGATCCAGAGACTGGTGGCTCTTCCCTGTACCCTTAGCTATTCTGCAAATACTGGTAGTGTTGGCAATAATGGCGCCCATAGGTTTCAGTTCTTCCTGTACCCTTAAGCTTCTGTTTTCCAGGGTCACGGTCCTGCCTCCCAGGGTCACAGTCCTGCCTCAAGTCTAGCTTGAATCCTCCTTCTGCCCCAACCTCCAATCAGCATGAACCATAAGATCCTAACCAATCAGATCATGCTGAGACTCACTGAGGGGTATTTAAGCACCTGCCCTTCTCTCTCTCTCTCTCTCTCTCTCTCTCTCTCTCTTTCTCTTTCTCTTGGCTCTCTCCCTCTCTCCCTCTCCCACCTGGTGAACAATTTTTCTAAGCAGAGTTTGACTGTCATTCTGTTGTCAGTCTCACTGGGAACTAGGTGTACAGAAAGGACCTACCAGTGCTAGGCTTTTCATGGTCTTTTTTTTTTCTGACTACACTGGAATTTGAACTCAGGTTCTCATGCTTGCTAGGCATGTGCTCTTACCTCTTGAGTGACCCCACTAGCCCTTTTAGGTGATGAGTTTTTACAAGATAGAGTCTCAAGAAATTTTTGCTAGCACAGGCTTTGAACAAAGACAAACCTGATCTCTCTCCTGAGAAGCTAGGGTTACAGGTGTGAAGCACAGGGACCTGGGTTCTTCCTGATCTTATGGCGACTCTAAAGTATGATTTATTTGGTGACTCAGGCTGAGATTCGTGAAATCTCCTTACTACTATTTACAAATCATTTTAAAGATATTTGTGATGATTACTTCATAATCATTTTTGATGCAAAAACAGGACATTTGGAAAGTGTGTGGAGGAGTGTCTGAGTTTACAAAGGGGGTAATGGTTAGAATGTAGCTTCTGTGCTCCTTTGCTACTGTGGAAATGAATGGAAGTGTGGTTTAATTGCAGCTATTTATGAGAGTTACAACATTCAGAGTATATCTTTGTACTACTTTCATTTTCTGTTGAAATAATTGGTTAGACAGTGTAATTTGTGAGGCAGGTGCTGTGTCCTCAGGGTCAGGACAAGTTCTGCTGAATGTAATTAACCCATAAACTAAAATATATCTCCAACAGAGGAAGCCTGATTGCCAAGGACAGCTGGAGTGTCATTTGCAAGTCACCAGTTTCGCACCTCTTCCCCCTCCACCTCCCCGTCACTCAAGGACTTGGTGGGTGGGCGCTTCGTCCCTTAGCCAATCAGAGCGGCTGTTTAATCGTAGGCACCAGCCATCCAATGAGGAGCGGCAGTGTTAGGCGATTCACCTTGCCTTCCTCATTGTCGCCATATTTGCCATGCGCCTGCTGGGGGACATTGTGCAGGCTGCACAGCTCCAGCAGCTGTGTGAACTCTTCTGACTGCAGGACCATAGGGAGGTCACCTGGACGCGTCGGAGGCGGGAAATGGTGAGAGGGCGGCTGGGCATCCGCAGTGCTGGGTGGCGGGACTGTTGGATCCCGAAGCTGCGGTGGTTTTTAGTGAGCCCTGTCTGTTCTGGAGACTGCGCCTTGATCACATGGTTGGGGTCTTAGGTCCGCTGCCGCCTGGAAGGTGCCGCTGGACTAAAGACTTGAATCCCGTCCTGTGTCCCTGTGAGGTGACTTGCTCCCAGACCACTGCCCTGGTGGGAGACTCTGTTAGCAATTCCATGTCCAGCAGACTGAGGTGGCCGCGGAGCCTCCCCAGCACTTCCAGAGTTTTTGCTGGGATAGGGCGCTTTGTGCAGTGTCTCCATAACTCTTTACTGGGACCTTGCTTCCCCTTGAATCCTTCAGCTTCAGGAGAAGTATGGGCTAAACTCTATGCCCTGTCCCCTAAATGCACTACTTCTTAGTAATGCGAAAAAGTCCCTAAATTTCCACAAATCCTGTACGTTGCCAGATTCATTGGAAATGGGAATCCACATGTGCACGTGGTTGCCTTCAGAGTGGAGGGAAAACTTTCCCCTTCCTGACTTAACTGTTCGTTGTCCACAGGTTGTTTTTAGAATATTGTTTTATAGTGAAATGCTGATTAACTTAGACCCTGAATTTAAGAGAATTATTCTAGTTGGAAAGCCCCAAAAATAAGGAATGTAGACATCTCAAGGCAGAAAGACAGTTTGCTCTCTAAGAGAGGAGAACACAGGAGAAGAAATAAATTAGTAGTAGACAGACATGGAGATTGGCAAAATCAGTTTTCTCCTGTGATCATCTTGGTTTTGTGCCTTTGTTACTTGTTTTATTTTCGGCGTCTGATATTTGATATCACAGTTCTGTATTTACAAGCAGAGGTCTACCGCTTGAACCATATCTCCTTTCTATTTTGCTGTGGTTATTTTGGAAATGAGGTCTGGTGAACAATTTTTCTAAGCAGAGTTTGACTGTCATTCTGTTGTCAGTCTCACTGGGAACTACGTTTACAGAAAGGAGCTACCAGTGCTAGGCTTTTCATGGTCTTTTTTTGTTTTTCTGACTACACTGGGATTTGAACTCAGGTCCTCATGCGTGCTAGACATGTGCTCTTACCTCTTGAGTGACCCCACTAGCCCTTTTAGGTGATGAGTTTTTACAAGATAGAGTCTCAGAAATTTGCTAGCACAGGCTTTGAACAAAGACAAACCTGATCTCACTCTCTTCCTGAGAAGCTAGGTTTACAGGTGTGAAGCACAGGGACCTGGGTTCTTCCTGATCTATGGCAATCTAAAGTATGATTTATTTGGTGACTCAGGCTGAATTTGTGAAATCTCCTTACTACTATTTACAAATCATTTTAAAGATATTTGTGATGATTACTTCATAATCATTTTTGATGCAAAAACAGACATTTGGAAAGTGTGTGGAGGAGTGTCTGAGTTTACAAATGGGGTAATGGTTAGAATGTTGCTTCTGTGCTCCTTTGCTACTGTGAAAATGAATGGAAGTGTGGTTTAATTGCAGCTATTTATGAGTGTTACAACATTCAGAGTATATCTTTGTACTACTTTCATTTTCTGTTGAAATAATTGGTTAGACAGTGTAATTTGTGCCAATGAAGATAAGTCTTGGAGGCCCTGGCTCAGAGAAAGACACATTTATGCTTTTCTTGATGTGGCAAGAAGTTGGTGTATTTGGAAGGGGATGTGAGTGTGTAGTATAAATTAAAAGTTTGGGTTCTTGTATCAATTTCTAGCACAGTGATTCTGAAATCCTTGAAATTTCTGAGGCAATAGGAGTGTATTTGGTTGTTTTCCTAAGCTCCATTGAGGCAATGTTTGCATTTATTCTAATGATGGGTCTCAGGGTGGTACATCTTTATAACATTAGGAAGGTGACTGGCTTGAACAGACTTAGCAAACAAGTGTTATGGCTTGTTGTCTGTTGCACACTGCCCAGAAGTTGGAGGGACTGTGCTAATTCTAGAAGGTGTCAGATTTGAACTGAACGAAAAGTTTGTATTTGAAAGTTGGGTTGGTGTGTAACACCACGTATTTGTTATGAGAAGTGATGGCAAAGAAATTCAACACAAGTCATGAATATTTGGGGTTTGGGAGCAAATGAAGGAAGGGTACATATTAAAATAGAGTTCATAGGTAGCAGTTAGGCATACACCATGTGGATATACTAAGCAAAACTAAAATTCTGGAAGGAATCAGAAGGTTTCTAAAAATAAACATGGCGTTTAGTAGAAGTTAATGTACATTAACAAAGATTAATATAGTTCAGCAAGGTCACAGGATGTTAGAAGATGACTCTGAGTATTTCCCTCACCTCAAAGTGGGTGCATGACAACAGTTCCTGGAGTAATAGATCTTTCACAAAAACTCAAGCCCATAAACCATATCCCTTGTGGTAAGGTTCACTAAAAGATTTTGCTCATTTTAATTATGTAATATTGCCCTAGTGTTATACCAAGTTAGCAGAATACTATTTTAGGGTGGAAGTTGTGGTATTGGTGCTCTGTAGAGTATGGATATGTTAAATTTAGTATGAAGTTTTGAGAATGTACGATTTTATCTAACTTTTTATGGTTGTTTGCTTATTCTGTGATTTGAAGATATATGGATGTTCTAATTTATTCCACTTGTCCATTTAGCATTAAACATCTTCCTTGTGTGCTGTTTTTGTACTATACTGATAACCTTTGGTTTTGAGCAATTTTTATACTTGTTCCTTTGTGTTACTATCGTCACCTTCTCACCCTACCTCTCTGCATGTCATTTTTCTTTTACTGTTCCTTCGTTCTGTGTAAACGGTATTCTCCTATAGTGCGATGTTCAGATGATTATGATAAATTCAGCAAAATGGTGTGCTTTGCATTTAGCTGGTGTAGTACAATCTTGCTGAAGTCCTTTATTTACCTATTTATTTACTTATTTATTACTCAGGGTCTTGTGATTGCTAAGGCAAGCACTACACCACTTGAGCCAGTCTCACAGATGAAGTAATTTATTAATTATATTATCACATTTTCTATCCCCCTTTATAATACAAAGTACTTTAAAAATGTATTGTTAGTAATTTCCAAAACATATAAAATCCTTTTCCAAGTAAGTTAAATGCATTTTAATAAAGATGTGGTGCTTCATGGACAGGGCAGATATATTGGTATGTTCCCCACTATTATACTTCAACCCATATGCAATTGTTCTTACTGATTGATCATATTATAAGGCATGATCACCTAGTCCACAATTCACTTTGACTTTTGGCAAAGGTCCTTGACTACCAGTAGTAAGGAAGAAAGTAAAGAATTTTTGTTCATTTCTAATTTTTAACACTTTTTCTTTATGTGATCTAAGTTCTTAGCTGATATGTTTTTGGTTCATTCTAGAGATCTTTCCACAATTTACAAAATTCAGATGCCTGTGATACATTTTATGAATTTAGAAGTGTTCTCTTTCTCTTCTAGCTGCATCATTTCAATCATTTTCATGCTGACTCTTTGTTCTTCTTCCTCTAGTCCACCATTAAGCACCTCTAATGATGGTTTCATTGAAGTTGTATATCCATCTTCATGCTCTCTGTGTAATCCTTTGATGATTTCTAAGTCTGCACTGATATTATCTTCTTTGTATATAGTATTTCCACTTTGCTGTTTCTTCTGCATGCTTTCCTACAATCCTTTGATTCTACTTTAAGCAGTTCCAAGAAAAGGCTTTGTGAAATGAGTCCCCTGCCTGAGATTTTTCAGCAGTTAATTTCTTATTCTGAAAACAGAATTTTGGACCAAGGGCACAAGCTCCTTTTGCACATTATAGGTCCAGCTAATTACCCTTCAATTTCAAAGAAAGAAGCATGGTGAAGGCAGGGAAAGAGTATTACTTCACAACTAGGATATGGTGTGGGATGAGGCATTGTAAGTACTCAGGTCATGTTCACCATCTGCAGGGTACAGACGTCAGATATAGATTGAAATAGGCAAAGAACTCAGGGCAGGGAGAAACATATGCACAGTTAAACAGTTCCAGTCAAAGGTGTGGTGTAGTTGTTATAACTCAGCTGTTGATATGGGAGAGGTTCTGGAGTTGTTTCCAAAGGATGATCCATCCAAAGGAGGGTCTACTGTTGGGGATAGATTTGGCTTCAGGTCACGAAGAAAATATCTATCTTCTCCTTCCTAGATTCCAAGGGTATTGCAAGGTGAGTGCAGAGAATGGCACAGAGAAAAGACTGATTGAAAATGGAGAGGTGCCATGTTTTTTCTTGCTTTTACTTGATTCGTGGACTGAGTATGGAGACCATGCTTTTTAGGAAAAGCAGTCTGAGGAATGCCTACAATGCTTTTTGACTGAAGATCCACATTTCCCTGTTTCTTCATATTTGTTGTCATTTGTTCTTCCTTATGTGTGAAGAGTGGATATGATACTATCTTCATGCAAAGATTTTCCATTATTCTGGCCTGGCCTAGAACCACAGCTTTTCTGAGATCACAGGGTGTCCCCATGGGAAAATGAGTGTGAAATTCTCTCACCTTATTCAGGACTCCATTTCCCCATTGAAGAAAGGTCCATTCTGAAAAGCAGACTCTGCTTAACTTCAATGAATGCCCAGGCCTGAGTGGGTAGTCACCAGGGAGGAGGCCTGAACTGCCGAGGGCTGTTTCTGGATTCTATTATTTGGTTTATGCCCCCTCCCTGCTAGGGGATTACTTCTTCTGTTACTCAGATCTCAAGGGGTGGGTTCTGGATCACTAGCCAGTGAGAAGTGCTTGAGAACTGGCAAATCACAGTCTGGTGTAAGTAGGACCCTCTGATTAATACAGGAAATGCCTTCTGGTCTATGGACATTTTCTGGATCACATTGTGATACTGAGAGCAATTCTATGTAATTTAGTCTCTCTCCTACTGTGACTTGCACCTGGTCCCAGTTGAGTGAGCAGAACTTCACTCACCAAAGAAGTCTGAAATGGTGTTTGTAACTGACATCCCAGACCCTAGGAGGATGAG